AAAAGAAAAGATGAGGCCATCGATTTTTGATGAAGCTTAAGAAAAAATTTTGTGGGCCGAGCCCGTGGCGCACTCGGGAGAGTGCAGCGCTGGGAGCGCAGCAGTGCTCCCTCCCGCCGCGGGTTCGGATCCTATATAGGGATGACCGGTGCGCTCACTGCGCTCACTGGCTGAGCGCGGTGCGGCCGGTCTCAAAAAGGACAAAAGAAAAAAAAAGAAAAAATTTTGTAAGTGAGAGATGTGGCTTTATTATTTATCTTGAAGGGTTCAATTATGTGTATATACCAAAGAGAAATATAAATAGTTCTAGATAATCCACAGTTTACTATGTTAACAAAGTAATTCTAGACTCTAAAATTTCTGCCATTAAAAATAAAGTGATTGATAATGGGGGTCGGTTAAGGTATTGAGAAATAATTTAACAATTTTCTCGTTAGCAGTAGTGAATAGATAATTTGTTGAGGTGGGCAGCTAGAGTAATAGTTAAAGTGCAGTACTGATCCTATAGAAAAGCAGTATAACATGATTAAAAGTTCGGGTCTTGAAGTCAAACGAATCTGGATTCTGCTACCAGTTTCTGCCATTTAATAAATGTGTGACTTTGAGCAAGTCATTTAACCTCACCAGTTTCCATAGGCATAAAGTAAGGATAGTAATACCTATTTAAGTATGTCAGTGTCCTCCAGCCAAAGACCACCGGAAAACACACCTGTAGTTGAACAAGTTGTGGTGGTAGTTGTAATATCTGAAAATCCATAACAGATACCCCAGATACACAGGATAAGTTAGTGTGCAGCAGGCAGGTATAACCTGATGCCCACATAAGTAGTATCCTAATGGTGGGAGTGTCGGGAATATATGTATTTATTACAACAGGAGTAAGCCAATTTAGTGTCCCATAAGATAGATAAATTCCCTGAGTGGAGTTAAATATTTCAAACAAAGTAAGCTGAAGTGTCTCTGTAGAGAACAAACTATCATAATCAGTGTAGCCCCAGTTTTAGTGTTTTTTTCTGATTAGATGGGTCTTGCTAACAGGATTATAATCACTTTAGCACAAGCATTTTGATGATGTGAGGTCAAGGTCCAATTTTATAAGACTGAGGGTAGGGATTAATGATTTGAGGGAAACTTAAATACCAGAGGGGCCTGTAAAAGGGAATCTACCTTCCAAAGTGTTTTTTTTTTTTTTTTTTTTTCCGTGTCCGGCAACGGATCGCAACCCTCAGTGTCGCCCCCGTACCGG